GGACTCGGGTCTAACCAGCCCTTTGGGTCACCAAAGCTCAGCTCCTCCTCCTCCCCGGGCCCAATCGGCCAGGGTTCTTCTCCGTCGGGCCTAGTCGGCCACAGCTCTCCTTCGTACCCCACCATCTTCTGTTTTCCCCGGGCCTTGTCATGGGCCGGGTCCGTCGACAGCAAACCCGGTCCGCTGAAGACTGGTGCGGGCGCGCTCCTCGCGCCCTGATTTCCCGGCTGCCCGACGCGGCTGTGCGGCATGGCCGAGCTCCCCGACGCACCGCCCGTCGCGGTCAAGACTAGCGCCGCCCCAGCCTCACCACCGCCGTCCAGCGGCGTCTCCTCCGCCGCCTCCTCCTCCCGGCGCTCCACCGCCGCCGTGCCCCCAGCCCCCGAGCCGCCGCGAGGCGGCTCCGCCTTGCTCGCGGTCGTCGTTGCGTCGCCGCTCTCCTGGGCCGCCGCCCCCGCCGTGGCTGCTGCTGTCGGTGTCGGCCCCATGGCCGTGCTCGTCGGCGGCTCTTGGTTCCTCAGAACCTAGGTTAGCACCTCCTGCATCGTCGCTGCTAAGGCTCCGCAGATGTTTTCAGCCACGCTCTTGCCCATCTCTTCGGTGGAAGCTTTGATCTGGTCGCCCATGGCTTCGATTGCCCCGATCGAGCCCTTCGAGGCCTCCGTTGCACTCACAGTAACCTCCGTCAGGCTCTCCAACGATGCTGCCATCGCGTCATACTTGGTTGCCGTCACGTCCTTGACCGTCACAACCTCCTTGTTCTAACGCGGCGGCTGCTGCTTGTCCGTAGGGTTCGACATCGTCAGAGTGCAGTGTTTCTTCAAAGAGTCAGCACACCAGCCTGGCTCTGATACCACTGAAAGAGCACGGATCTTGGTGTGCGATTGGGGATCGTGAATGATATGAGAATTAGGGATTTGGGTGAGGTAGAATTTGGGAATTAGGGTTGAGAGAAGAGGATTCCGGTCACCGAGGTGGTGGCCGACGGGTTGGAGAGGGAGAGAGAGGGCTCGGCAATGAGAGAGGGAGAGAGATTGAGTAGGGAATAATTCTGTTGTTATTGCTTAACCCTAACTTAGGCCTAACACAGAATATATATAAACCGACTAATTCCCTATAGCTACCCAAAGACTTAACCTAACCAATTTAACTCCAATAGTTCCCGAAATAGCCGACATCACATAAAACATCTAAATAACAAATAAACCTCCAATTAATGACTATCTAACATGTTTCCTGAAAAGGATACTCTGCCAAATCCTTATTTAATTTGAGCAGATAAATTTTTTTTTATTGCTTCGTAAGCTCTTTTCTAGATCGACCTCTCTTGGAGCCCAGCCCGGCCAGCCATCCACCAGCACCCCAACTGCCTCTGCTCACACAATTTCTGGTGTTCTTTCTTTTCAATTATAAATAAGTATTTTATTTTGTTGCATGCATTGAACATAAATGGGAAAGCAAATAAAGACGGGAACAAACGGACCGACTGCATGCATGTTCTCCTACCCCAACTTCTCGTAATTGGAGATTTTGTTTGGGTTTGGGCCGGGCGGTGGTTTTTTTCGGTTCCTTTCATCACCCAAATGTGTGATTGTATTGTAGGATTTTCAGACGATTTTCTATTGAAATTTAGGATTTATATGTAAAAAGTACTAAATATAAAGAATTTATTAAGTTTAAAAATCATAATGTAATTTTGTATATGGGTATGAGTACACATCCAAATTCATGGATTAAAAATCCAACTCAAACAAAATAAATGAGTAAGTGTATAAACCCATTAAACTCTACATATTTATTTTGTATTCTAGTTTCATACCTAACCCAATTGAGTTGGATAAGGAACTATCAATGGGTTTGGTCAAATTTGTCATCACTAGTTATATGGATGCCATATTGTAGTGTTTGATCAAGGCTTATGAAAGGTTTGTTAGATGAGATATTATGTATCTTACATGTAGCTACCATAATTAATGAGTTCAATAAAGTCTCTCAAAATCAAGAAGGAAAAGGTGTAATGTATGTTAAGCAAGGATGCCAAAAGGAAAGGGAATAGCAAAGAGAAAATTCGTATGTATCATAATTCATTTCTATAGCTGCAACTTGCAAGTAAAAGAATAATTATACACATTTTAGTCAATTCCAATTGAAGGTAATATTGGGTTTTGTGGCTTTAATTGAGTTGGACTAGACAGTTCTAGATATTAAGACTTCTCAGATGTGTTAGTTCATACTTGGGTAGAATTTCAGATGGGTTAATCAGATGTTTGGTGAATTGAGTTTGAATCGTGAGTATTTGTATTACATTTTAATGAAACTACAAATGAATCGTGTGAGTTAATCGGATTACATATCAATCTAGCGACATATTTATTGAGTCATGAGTCGAACAATCGATTTAGCGGACTACGGAATCAGACCTTGGTAACTGTAATAATAACGAAGGAGAGAGTGGATTGGAGGAAGGGAAAGTGCTCTGTTTCCTTTGTTCAGCAAGGCTGCTAAAAGGAAAGGGAATAGCAGATGCAAGAGAGCATGGGAAGATCAATCATCAGGTTGGTTGCCCAAATGTTCCCACTGGCCTGGCCTCATTCATAGAGATACACACACGTATGTCTCCATCCCTCCACAATCCCCTTCCCTTCATCATCAATCATCATCCCATTCCCTCCCTCTCTCTCTCTCTCTCTCCTCTGTGGCCAGACAGAGGGATGAGGAACCAGATGTGCAGTCTACTCATTCGGGTTTTCTTACATATTTTAATGGCTCCTTGCCAGCCTCCACCACCATCACTGCGCTGGCTGATCCAAACATGTGGGGGCAGCAACCTTTGTATCTTTCCCCAGTTTGATTCATCTTTCTGCGACCAGTTTTATCATCTTGCAAAAGCTATCTAACCCAAAATAATAATGCCTTCGTTTCTGGTGTGCTTCCCATTTTCAGAACCAAGGACAGCTGAGATTTGGAGTCATTTGTGGTGGATTGATGACCCCCCCCAAGTCCTCTGTAAAGCTTCTCTTGTTTGTGATAGGTGTTGCATTTTTGTGGTGGCTGGCGGTTTCCATTAGTATAATGGAAAAGCCTACCACCCATGAGCCATAATTACACCTTTTTAATGAACCCATCTCGTCTCATCGCCTCCTGGATCAGGGGAAAGCCTCCATGTTTGTGCAGCAGCATCGTAACATGACTCCACTGCAACATCAGTTTTAATGCCCCCATGTTACTCTTCATCAGCCTGACAAACATAGCAAAGCAAAGGTTTTTTTTTTTTTTTACCCTTTTGGAGGGTCTGAAAAGGACAGGACTGAAACCCCATGTCATCAGAAAAGAAGAAAGTCAAGATGAGGATGCAAGCTAAGCTATTAGCCATGGAAGGAAAGGAAGAGGGTGTTCATATTTAGGCGCAGGAGTTGCTAGCAGTCACGTGGGAGGAAATAAGAGATCAGACCTTTTAGTATGATGCAATATTAAGTATCTGTCATGTGATAACTTTGCATAGTTCACTGATTAAGGCAGGCAGCCTGACCAGCTAAGCCCTACAGCTCCCCGTACGCCTCAGAAAAGTAAACGGGCGGGTGCCGGCCGAAATGGCTTTGCTTACAAATATCTGTCAATTAATGCGGCTACGGTGGCTATCCATCTGGGTTCCAATAGGGTGCTTCGACCTGGGTTCCAGTCTCTGTTTCCAGAAGGATTCCAGTTTCCTCCTGCCATTGGAGCATCTAGAAGAAGAAGGCTTCCCTAATTCTAAACAAAAGGGTTATCTAGCATTCATATCAGCCATTCCAGAAATGAAAAGCGGGCAATCCCATTACTCAAATTACTGGGATTGGAACCTATGTAAGGTTGATGCCATATTTGGTGGAACTTGGATTAGGGTTGTGCAGAAAAGAGTAATGCAGAATAACAGGTCTAGTTGGTGTTTGGTGCTTGCTGCTCCCTAGCCAAGCTAGAACTAGTGAAATGTCAGGTGCTGCACCAGCCAGCCTGCTGCCTGCGTGTGTAGTAAGTGTAGCCACGAAACTAGTAATTGTTTAATCAATAGAAACAGAAGCTGAATCATAACTACATAGTTTTGGCATCCCAACTGCCTAACTTTTGACGAATAGATCAGCAGAAAGAGTGTGGGAAAACAAAGGGGAAAAGTTGTTTTATTGATTGAATTAAGAACTAACAATAAGCAAAGCAGTACATATTCTCTCATTACCTACAATATTCACATATATATATGATACTGGTGGTGCTTAAAGATAAAAGTAAAATGAGGAGTGCTACTACAAACTCAAAGCTCTTTCAGCGACATTTTGGTCTAGCAGCAAAGTGTTCGTGCACCCTTACAAAGCATATGCCTCACAGCCATAAAAAAACCAAGCAGCAGATGCAATTTCCTTCCTTTAAATACCAAGCAACAACTTCATGTAGCAAAATGGCGGTTCCGGTATCTCACAGTACAGACAGAATGAGATCGAGGATGAGTGGTTCTTGCAGGCAGTTAGTTCAATGCAGGATTCACATTCGACCTTCCAGGATTATATTGCAGCAGCTGATTCATGCAAAAGCTTTGGTGCAAAATTGTTTTCACTTACTTCTCTCGGCGGTGTTTCCCTTGAATCTTTGCAATTTCAAACTGCAAATCCTCTGCAACCTGGACAAAGGACAATGCTACATGAGTGGTCATCCTAGCAAATGCAAGCCATCAACGTGCAAGCCAAAAGGATTTGTTCAAAGTATCATCCAGAGATGCATCATTTGTTCTACATTTCACTTCGATGTATATATGATACAGAATATCCAAATGAACAATTCAGCTAGCAATAGATGGACTAACATATATCCCTTAACGCCTACTTGGAGACTGAAAGCCGATCATTTGCAGATTTATGTAAACAACCAAGCATCATCACAAGCTACCATGTAAAGCAAACCAATCCTACAGCTGCGCAGACAAAGGAAACAAATTTCCTACCTCAGCTGCCATGATCAGTTAGGCAACCCAGTTAGAAAGAGTTCATCTCCAAGCAGTAAGTCCTCCGCTTGACAAGCATCTTCGCCGCAGTACCATAAGGCTCCTCGAAAGCTGTGGAGACCCACGACAGATCACAAACTTCCTTCTTTGCCGAGGTCTGCTCGCTGGGTCTAATCGCGACCAGAGTGGCACCTTTCAGAACGACTCCATTGGGCAATTCCAAGTGGGGGGCATACCACAGCCGCATGTTGAGAGCAGGGACAAGTGTCCTTTTGGAAGCAGAGGAAGCCGACAATGGCTTCACCCGCAGCTCTTCCAGCTGATCCCTGTTCATGCACAGCACGCCTTGACCATCCGCATCGGTCAACACCAAGCTGTTCAGCGTCTTGTGCTCGGCGATTATGGGCTGAAGCAAGTAGTGCCTCGCCGAGGCGGCGATTAGAGAGCTAATCGTCCAGACGACTCTGAGCTTCAGGCCGCCGTTTGTGTAGAAAGATTCCGGTATGCTCCCGTTATCATCTCCCCCTGCATTGGCGCAAACTAAATCGGTAGTGGCGACGGGAGGATCTGGAGATGCCGTGAATTGCTTAGAATGGCCGTTGTTGATGACGGAGGCAGCGCCGAGGATAACGCAATTGTCGAGGGTAGATCCGAAATCGGCCCTCCATTTCAAGAGCACGCCATCGTCGATCCCTAGCTCCCCACTGGGTAACTCGATTCTTAAGAAACGAATCTCGTTGAAATTCTTAAGAACCTGCGTAGGGGAGTGGTGGGTGACGCCGCCTTGGTCCATCTCGCCGGCGTCGTCGTCGTTTCCGCCGCCGCTGCTGCCGACGGAGAGAGGCCCGTTCCTGGAGGCGTAAGAGGAGGCCTGAATCTCGCGCTTGGGACCCAGCAACTGACCCAGAGCCTGGAACGGCTTGACAATGCCGCCGAAGACCATCCGGAAAATGGAGGAGAAGCCGGAGGAGGAAGCCGATGAGCGGGACTTGTCGGAGGAAGAGGAGTTGGATGTGTCGTCGTCGGAGATAACGCAGTCGACCCGGACGACGACGCTCTCTACCTGCGGGACGAGAGAGTGGAACCTGCGGGAGACGACGCAGCAGCGCCCCAGGGCCTTGACGTCGCCGATTTTGTTGAAGACGAGGATGAGGAGGGAGTCCGGGAGGCGGTCGAAGTGGTCGATCCCGGCGGCGAGGGTGATGGAGCAGCATGTTGGGTCGGCCTCCGGGTAGATTCTGGAGGTCAGATCTGGGCGAATTGAGACCGCCATGATTATCAAAGTCCCCTGTAACTGGGTTTTCCCCTCCTTAGATACAGAAGGGGTGGAGAAAAAGAGAAGAGACAGGGAAGACCCAGAGGAGGAGAAAGAGAGAGGGAGAGATCTGAAAGGTGGGTTTTCTAGAGGGAGAACGAAGGTGAGAAGGGTAGATCTAATCTGCGGAAGGGGCAGGTGGAGAAAGACATGAATGGATGGGTTTGTGGAGTGGAAGGCGGAGAAAGAAACGGGGATGAGGCGATCGAGAAGACGATGCGAAAAGACAGAGGGAAAATCGTGCAGACGAAGAGAAGAGAAGAGATGAGAAGAGATGGTGGGTAAGAGAGGAAAGCGGGATGGTCTTCTTAGCTTTAGCTTCTATCGCTCGCAGGGGAAGAGGGAAGGAGGAAATGGAAAGGAATGGTGGGAGGAGGAGATAGATCCACGGCTTTGTCTTTACAGAGAGAGATGGCCGATGAGAGAGAGACACTCACAGTCAGAGAATGCGCGAACCAAAATATAAATAATATTGAAAAAGAAATAAAATGTTGCGGTTACTATTCATTTTAATTAGTATTATTATTATGCGCGTAAAAGACAATGCCAACTAGAAAATAAAGAAAAAAAGGGAGAGAGAAAGAGATGAATGGATGCTTGAAGATAAGAGAAGAAGAACCAGTGGGAAAATTAAAGAGAAATGAAGGGAGCAAATGGCAAATTTTTAGGATATTTATCAATTTAGTGAGTTTTTTTTAAATAATTTTGATTTGAGAGGGGTGGCCTTTCATTTCCACTGATTAGAATGACGCAATTTTGATCCTGATTTCTTTTCTAAACAATAATTAAGGGATAGTTAATTAATTAATTAATTGTCCTTTTCCCCTGCTTTCTTACCTTATCGATTCCTTGTCCTATCTGTCCTTTGTTTAATTCGGTTTTTTACTAATGGTTAATGCCTTTTTCTTAACGGAGCCGATGAAGTATATTGTAGGATCTAGGATTGCAGTGGCTAGCTAATCTGCGGTTTGACATCGATACACTAACAAATAATTATGATTGTATTGGATGAGGTGATTAGTATGGGTGGATCATGGATTGAAATTTTTTGCCTGCAGTATTTGGGTGGGTGGGTTGGGATCAGCCGAATGACCTGCATCTCACTTTCACATTAAAAAGAATCGTTTGTTGTTTATATTATCAAATATTCATTTTTCTTTCTAACCGCATCACACACTAACCATGGACTTCCAAAATAGAAAATAGAAAATATTTTTGAACAACTATTGTTTGTTATTGTGTAATGTTCATTTAATATTAGAATGCAAATTATAACCTGTCAAAAAATGCCAATATTTTCTACATAATCAGTGATGGATCAATGATAAATTTGATGCATCTGTTAGAGAATTAATATCCACACGCGTAAAAAGTCTTGATCTCTAGAAATATGTGGTCATGACTTTGTTTTCTTTATGAACAAATACTTCATGTAAAGTGGTCAATTGGAAAATTGGTATGAGTAGGAAAAATTTACATGTCAAAAGTATCTAGACGGATCCACAAGAGACAAAGTGTTGAGTGTCTAAATGACTATTGTCTTCCTAATTTGGAATTAATTTATTACAAATATTAGACAACTTGTCTAATGAATAGTCGAGGAATTGCTTTTATGAGTTAACCTCGCATCCACCCACCACTCACCCCAAACTGAAATAAGAATATGGATGGATCGAGAGTCACAATTATAACAACTTGTTAATAAAATAGATAGATCAATTTGAAATTGAAATCCACTCAACCCACTCATTACTCACCCCAAATCAAATGTGCATAATTACATAAATTTATTTTTCTCAACATATATGAAAATAAATATCAATACTAATATTTTCTTACATGCAAATATTTTCAAGATTAAAGGTGAAGTGAATAAGATGTACAGTGATTATGAAGTGGTCCTTTTCCTGGGGGTGATTATGATTATGATGATGATGATTATTATTATTTTATGAATAGGGTGATTACTTTAGTTGTTAATAAGTTGGTACATGTTAAAATTGCCTTCTCTAATATTCTTTCTTTCTTGTTGCTATGTTTGGCATGCTGCTAATAATGATCCACCAAAACTAAAGTAAATTAGCGGTCCTTTTGGAAGGCCTAACTAAGCCCTTCCTGTGATTTCTTTGTCCTAATAGTACTAAACTAATGGTAATTCATATGTAAATGTTATATTAATTAGTTTTTCTTCTTCCAGATTAAGTGCTTCCTTTTTCTGATTCGCTCTCCCTTTGCTATGATATTATGCTAACTTTTGTTGGCGACTCTGTCTCAAATTACAGGTTCCCGACACTAAAAGATGCCGACTACTATGTTTCCATGGTGCAATATATGGTTAAAATAATAAAATTAGCCACTAGGTTAGGCAGGGAGGGTACCAGCTAAATTGGCAAGTGTGAAACTTTAGGTATATCTGAAACTCTTCACTTCACTACCCACCTTCCGTTACTTTTGCTACTAGCTAGGTAGTTTCGATAGATAATGTCTCCCTCTCTATTTTTTTTATTTTACAATCAGCCTATATTCATAAAATTCAAAGTTCAGGGGTTGTTTTTACAATCCGCCTATATTTATAAAATTCAAAGTTCAGGGGTTACATTGTCATCAACTAGAAGTTGATGTATCAAGAAAATAGGAGGACAAGACATCTAGATCTCCGTCTCCTCATATCTACTTTTCATTCTACCCATCGGATGGGCACAAGCATTCCCAGCTCTCCCCCAAAACATCCATTCTACATTTCCTTCTGCTCCAGCGACTTCTCTAATCTCATCACAAATCCCCGCCACCTCCATCTTTGTGGCCTCCCTTCTATTCAGCTTATGGATCACAGATTGACTGACAAATTCCATCAATAAAGGTAAAAAAATTTGGTGTGCTCGAGCAAGTTTCAGTCCCCAAAGTAGGGCTTGGGCCTCCGCCATCTCCACCAACCATTTCGTCCTCGTCCGATAAGTCGCTCCCATATGAAAATGTCCCTCTCCATCTCTGATTACCAAACCACAACCTATTCATTCTTCACCTAGGATCGCTGCATCGGTGTTCAATTTGAAGGTTCCTGGTGGCGGTGATTCCCATTTGGCCTGGATTCTTGAGACTGGTAGCTTGTTCCCGACGTTCCCGATGACTGATGAAGTTGATATTCCTCCAGATAATTCTGTGCCCTTGTCCCTATTTACCATTCCTCAAGCTTCGAATTATTGAAGAGGTGGTTGTTGCGCTCTTTCCATAAGAACTATAGAGTGATTAGCACCTTAGTCAGTTCTTCCTTGCTCGTTCTCTCAACCAGATTGCATAGCCATTCTTCACAGCTTTTCCCCTCTCCAAAAGTGAAATACGAAGCCAGATCGCTAGGTCTCCACACCCTACCTACCCAGTCACACTCTCAAGTAATATGTTCCTGTATTTCCACAAGCCCACAAAATGGGCATTCATCATGTGCATCCTTGATCCTCCTGCTTAGATTAGCCCTAGTATGTAGAATCTTACTGCCCCAAAGCTAAACAAAGATTCACACCTTTGGAGGCAATTGAAGCAACCATAGTTGTTTCCTTGTTAAGTTAGAACTAGAGCTCGATTTCCTTGTTTGATTAGAGTTAGAATTAGGTTATTTGTTGTCTATTTAAGGGCTTGAAAGCCTCGTGTTCAAGCAGAGAAGATTGAATGGAAAATTGTGACTTTGTCACCAAATCCTTGTGTGTTGGTTGAGAATCAGCAACAAGCTTGCTTCATATCGATTGAAACCGCATCAATCGTGACCGAGCTTTATCCCAAACCAATCGAGCCTTCTTCCACGTGAAAGATTGCACCTTTGGGTCCGTTTTTCGTTTTAAGTTTGTTCAAAGTTCAAGCCTTCTTCGAGGGGGGACTGAGTTGCGCGCTTTGATCTTAAACAAGCACAACTGTGCTCATATCAGGTAATACAACTCATGATCATTTTAACCCAATCTTCATTAAATCCCAACTTCAACATTATTCCTTCGAGGAAATTCCATTCAACTCTATCATACGCTTTAGCTATATCGAGCTTAGCAGCCACAAATCCCTTCTTGCCATGAATCATGTTTTTCATGACATGGAAACATTTGAATCCCACCATGATGTTGTCTGTGATGTTTCTCCCACGGACAAAGGCACTTTGTGTCTTAGTAATCACCTCATCTAGAATCCTCTTCAATTTGTTAGCAGGTACTTTCAACAAAATTTTGTAAAGTACTTTACAAAGATCAATTGGACAAAACCCCTTAAGTGATTGTGGTTTCTTTGTCTTAGGGATCATAGCCAACAGAGTATGGTTCAGATTGGAAGAGACCATACATGTTAATAAGATTCTCTATAGTTCAATGCACACAGTATCCGCTAACACTCTCCAATTTTTGTGCACCATCTGACCCCGGGGCTTTAGTTGGAGCCATCATTTTTAATGCTTCCTAGATTTCCTCCCTTGAAAATGGTTTCATAAGCTCCTGATTCATTTGAGGTGTAACCTAGGGCTTGACGACTTCCAACACTTATAGAATATCTGGAGTCTGGTCCGCTTTATATAACTTTCTAAGATGGTGTGTGAAGCAATTCATTACCCCCTCTTGGCGCTTGAAAATCATTCCATCCTCACCCTGCATATCTTTAATCGTGTTTCTTTGTTGCCTGTTGGATGCTTTTCGATGAAAAAAAACTAGTGTTTTTGTCCCCTTCCTTTAGCCAATCTGTTCTTGACCTCTGTTTCCACCTTATTCGCTCTTGGTCCAAGACTTCATTCTCTCTCTAAAGCTTGGCGTTGAAGAAGGACAACCTTGTTCTTTTTGCCCTTAGAAAGTTTGGCCAAAGCTCTTTCAATCCTTCTTTTCCTCGCTTTTAGGTTCCTTAAAGTTTTCCTACCCCAATCCAGAAGAAATTTCTCACAGTTTTAGATCCTGTCCTCAAACGGTAGGTCAGGGTTTCTATTCCATTCAGCTTCT